TATGTGAAGTCATGAGCTGACGCATCGGTCCGGGGGAGAAGGCTCTCAGTCACCAGCCACGAGGCTGCGCACGGAAAGGCATCTCCCGGACGGCCCTGTGAGGAATGCCACAGGGCCCCCAAGAGCAGAGTCGGTAGCCAAAACCACAGGGCAGCCAGGATGCCCCAGGGACCCAGGTGCCCAAGGAAGACGGATGAGACAGCCAAGGCTCCTCAGCAGATGCAGAACAACAGGGAACTAGGAGGCTTTTTTTTTTTTTAATGAATTAACTCATATTTATTAATAACATTTATTTTGTATCAAATGTGTCCTGGTGATTATTTTAGCTAATAGCGTGTTACCTGTCTATGCCAGAGGACTGAAACTGACTTTTCAAAAACACTGATGACCTAGGAGGCTGCCGCGCAATGAAGGGGAGAAGCAGGGAGCCGTAGCTACAGTCTGTATGTCGGAAACTGTCAGAGACGCCTGGCTACCGCTGCTTGGAAATCCTGTCCGGAATTTTAAGAAAGGGGCATCATTCGCTAATGTTGAACAGGTTGGTGTGTGTGCACTTACACACACACACTCTGCTGTTTTTAATCACTTGGAACAAATAGTCATTTTTCACATTGTAAACCCTCAACTCCTACATCTCCAGATAGAATAAACGCAATGCTCTGACACTGAGCTAACAGGCCAGATTCAACACTCCTCCCTCATCTCACACTCCCAGTTCTAGGACCGCAGAGCGGACTGGCCTGCTAAAACGGGTTTCTTCAGGAAAGAGAGCTGTGACTGAAGAACATTTCTGATACCAGCGACAGATGTTCTGGGAACTAATTCAGGCAGCAGTGTACACAGATACAGTAACTAAATTGCCCGTTAAACATGCTGTGAGTAAGTATGTTTATTTCTCTCCTAGGTTGGGCTTTTGGGAGATGGAGCCTGAGAAAAAAGCAGGGCTTTATTTCTGCCTTTAATATGCTTTTAATTGTCAAATGAGGTCTATAGGTTGTAAGAAATAAAATCTAGACCTCTCACTGAGCCTGAGCAGGCCCATCCCCTCCCTCAATTCCCCTTTTCCAGCTTAACTGTGGTCCTTCTAATAAAGCTAAAAATCATCCAGATAAAAATCAGTTAGGTAAAGCTTACTCATCATCACAACGTGGATGAAATTCACGATGGGCTTAACTAACTATGGAGATTAAAAGGGTAGAATTCTTCTAAAAGTTCAATGAAAAGCTGAGAATTCTTTATGGATAATGGGATCGGTTTTCAGAAATTCACTCTTCATTGCTAGCCAGGTGTCCTGCTGGGTCAAACGCCAAAATGCTGTTTTTATATCTCAGCGCAGCAGGTCGTCCAATAGCATTCTTTCATTCAACACTGTTTCATTATAATGTTTATAAGATCCTGTAGGAAATTAACTCTTGTTTATATCAATTAGCCTATATTGGTGTCATTATATGTCATTATGCTGCAGTTCCAAGTGAGAACTTAACTCTAGTAACAAATAACTCAACAAAACCAAATCATTTGACCTAAGAACATGGCCACCAAATTCTATCAAATTCTCCAGAGGTCAGCCAATAGTACTAAATACTAAAGATTTCTGTGCTATTTGAACTGGAAGATGGGAAAATTGCACGTGGAAGACACCTATTTTGGGTATTGCATTTTAAAATGCCATGGAAGCCCGCTTTCTCTCCCATGGGGGAACAGGAGCGGCTTCCAATGCCTTTTCCCTGCCTGTGGATGGCTCTCTCCCCCTGCTCCAACGCCCGTGCGCCCAGAGCACCACATCCACAGCCCCAGAACGCTGCTGTCTGCTGACTTCAGTCTTGACACAAGGCAGCAAGAGAAGCTCTTTAAAGTTTAAGACCCATAGACTTTAATCCATTCCTTTAAAAACTCCTGTCATGATAGAGAACTGAAGCTCAAATACTTATTAAATGGTATATATTTGCCTTTTTGTCCTAACTCAAACTTAGTTTTTTAATAACATTTTCAGTAAACCTGGTGCCTTCCTCAATCACTCTACTGACCGATGAGCATTTCTACATTACTTTAATAAGCAAATGTTTACAATGCTTGGTTATTAATTTATATTACCCACTGCATCACTTCCCTGCATATTTTATGACCCTCAAGAGGAGAACTGAACTGCCCATAAAAACTGACACAACAGTTCGTACAATGAGCACTAAATGACCATGAAAAGGCACCAACCTGTTAAACGTTAAAGAGTATTCCTTCCTTAAAATTATGGTCAAGGTCTTAGTAAGAATAGAAGGAAGAAAATAGATTTCCCAATGTGAATAATTAACTACCTTCTACAATAGATTTTTAAGCAAAGAACGTGGAAGTCAAATTAACTTAAACTGATAACCTTATATACCGTCAGCCCTTAATAGTGCCATATATTCTGGGGCTGAATTTTTTTTTTAGTCTTCACTGATAATGAGGCAATAAAAACCCTGCACTCACCTTCTGTTTATCTCAGCTGCTAACGTGGTGTAGGGAAAATGGAAGATGAAGTCCTGTACACGTGATTAAAAGTAAGTAAGTGAAGGAAAAAGAAGAACTCAGATGCTCTTTCTTATTTTATCTTTACCAGCCACTGTTCCTAAAGTTATTATCTACAATCTCTGAAGGGGCATTTCACTTAAATCCAGACTTTAAAAGTTGAGCTCCAAGGATTTTCCCAAGTTATTATTAATGACAAATCCCTTTGATGAGCCATTTTAGGGCATTAAAGCAATTTCTAAAGCATTCATCTTTTCAAAATTAAATCCAAGTATACGCAAAATCAGTGGTGATGATATTTCATATGGATCTCCTGAGTAGTCAAAAAGGAAACAAAATCAGAAAAACCTATATGCAAATGTTTAATTTTCAAAGGGAAGAAAAGAGAAGTTGTGATCTCTCTGGTCCTTGAACATCCATGAAAGCAGCAGGGAAGCACCGCTTCCTGGAGAGCGATCAAAACAAGCTGGGCCTGAATATTCAGACTCACACACACCTTTCTGAAAGCATCCTCTGCAAGCCAGACCAGGCAGAGCAGAGCTCTCAGAAATGTCAGCAATGGCACGGTCTGGGCACTGTTTGTCCTGGGAACCGGTCCCTTTATAACTCTTATTAGTTATTTGGAGGAGGAAGGTGAGCTGTGAGTAGAGAAACTCCACGTCAAAATTTACTAAAGATAATCACTAGGAACTAAAGAGATCTAGAGGAAATTGTGGGTGGATTTAGGTGCATTGCGTGACAACATCAGGAAGGCAAAGGGCAAAGCACAACTCCAGGGCCATACAGAGTAGCCGGCCTAATGCCATTGTTCTCACTCGGCTTGTAGTCACTAAGTATATAGGCTCCTTGGGTTATTGAGGAAGAGAATCCAATAATGTCCTCAATCCTGGAGAGTTAAATACCAAGGCTGTGAGATAGAAGATAGAATAACAAGACACACAGGAGATACTGTGAGTGTCATAAAAGATTCGAGGAACAAAAAAAGAGCTAAAAAGAGCATACAGACCATATGATCTATGTCTGTAGAGTTCTGTTCAGAACATCCCATCTCTCGTTAGTCCTTTGATACCTATTCCTTCTCTCTTGAAGCTGAAATTATCTGCTTTCTCTAACTCCCACACAGCATTTTTGGCCCATCTCAAGTATTTTTCACATTGTGATCTGCACTATAAATAAAAGTATAAATTCCGGAGAGCCAAGGCCCTGCCTTTGTGTTCTGCACTGCTGCCAGGATAACAGATTTCTAATAAATGGTTGTGAAAGGCAATCTAGTACAACAGTCAAGGGTATGAGCTCTGTGGCCTGAGATGGTACAAGTTTAAGTCCTGGTTCTACCACTAACTTTGAGATGCAAGGAAAGCTTCTAATCTCTGTGTCTCCATTTTTTTCATATGTAAAACTGCCACAGAAATAGTAAGCAGCAGAATTCCTGCGAGGATTAAACGAGATGTCACCTGTAATGGGCTTAGAATGGCACTTGGCATATAGTTAAGTATTTAATGATGTTCACTAGTAATCAGTAGTCGTAATAACAGTACATTAATGAATTAATTACTTAATAAATGACTGATACATAAGTAAAACTATCATGAAAATTAGAGGCATTGTCATGCTGGGTTTTGACAGGATTTCTCCCAGATTTAAGTCTTTCATAATTAAAACACACGACACCCAGTTAAAATAAATTTTAGATAAACAAGTACTTTTTTTTTTTTTACTATGTCCCAATATTATATGGTAAGGAAACTAGTAAAGCAGCATCTAGGAGAATAAGAACATTGGTTTGCTGTTTTAAGAAAAAGACTCTAAGTCTTAAAAGTCATTCCTTCCCTTTTTAAAGAACTTCCTCCCTTCTTTCCCACTTTTAGGAAGCCCTCCTTGTCACACACTCTTTAACATCAACAGTAAGTTGAAGCAAAAATGAGAATTTTAAACAAGAGGACACGCTTTCTGTATTTACGGCCGACCTCAGCGCGCTCTGCCCCCCAGCTCACGAACCCTGCGCGTGCTGGAGCCCAGTGGGTGCTGCCCAAGTTCCGATAAATCAAACAATCTGCACTCACTCAAGGTCTATACATAGGCCTCCTTTCCTCCCAACTTGAACTACACAGAACAACCTTTTAGCAAGTTTAGCTTTACCAAATTTGCTTTGAATACTTACAGTGGTTTCAGAAAGGCAGCGGCAACATGTCCCCTGTCAGCAGGGGTTTAATTGGATTAAGTTAGTACTGGTCATTTAAACTCACTCAAGGGTTCCTAAACTGGTTTAGGTTCTTTGAGGACATATCTGTAAACAGGCAGGTTTTTACAGAACCAGAACATATTGGGCATGTAGGTTGAGAGTTAAGAGTACTATGGTATCTCAAAAAGACACCACATACTCTATGTTCATTATAAACAAGTCATCTGTTACAAGTAACAGTCCAATTTATGCTTCCCCATTCTAATGGCCAGTCATCCAAGAACAACAAGCTTGCGGGCCGCAACCTTACCCCTCAGTACTGTTTTGAGGTTGAGCTTGGCTTGGCGGTGCAGGTCCTCCACGCAGGGGGGCCGTGTGCTGGGAAGGAACACGTTCTCCTGCTGGTGCCATGGAGCTGTGTAGTGGACTGTCCATCTACTCTCCTCGTCTAGATTGGAAACCGCTGTAGAGAGAAGAGACAGAATCGATTCAGCTGCCAAATTAAGCTTCGCTGGCTCCAAACGGATCACTTCAAGATGGGTTGTTGGCGCCTAACACGTTCATGGGTAAGGGCTGGCAAGAGGGAATTGGAGCAAATTCTGAGCGAGCTTTAATCTTAGGTTCTAGGGGTCCCTTCCCACAGTGCTTTGTCTCTAAAGGAACTAGTGAAACTGTCCATCATGTTCTGGTAGAACTGTTTACTCAGTTCATTGCTTCCTAGCATTTTAGGCCCTCTCTCTAATTCAGTGTTAGAAAATGACTGACAAAACTGAGCGAGACCTCAATTCCTACTTGAGTCCACCATGATAGGTATCTGTTACTCAAGTACACAATACCACTGCATCAGTAAACATTACATTGTCAAACAGAAACAAATTTCCCACTGAGAGGTATAGACCAAATATTTCCTCCCTAAAGCATTATCTTAAAACAACACTGTTATAAACTCAAAGTTAAAAAATTAAGCATAAACTATCAATGTAATAATAACATTTAAACAGCACTATCTAGTTGAAGTCGAAATCAACTGGTACTATAAAACTTTCTCTGTATTTTTTGCTTTCATGAAATACCTTTGTATTAAAATGTTCTTTTTAATTCCAATGTCATTTACTTTCCCAACATAATCCAATTCAACGGAATTTTCCCAGCACAAAAAAAGACAAAATCATTAGAGAGGGGATGATAGGTAATCACGAGAGAATATTAAATCTCTCCAATTCCCTTCCTCCCCCTAGGGCTTGAGATCTCTTTCCTATTTCACTTTCCCTGACAACACAACCTAAAATGGCATACCACTGGCGCACCAAACAAATTCATCAGCAATTACGTGTCTGCCACTGTAGGCCAAGCATAGGATAGATTAGAGAAGTATAAGAAAAAGACCCTGTGCTGGGTCATTTACAGGAGGTGACAAGTGTTAACACCTGCAGTGTTAACTAGAATTGGGAATCAGGACAAGACTCCTCTAACTCTGACCTACGCTACAGAGTGCACACTGAGCATATCCATTTCTACAAATAATGTCTCTTGTAGGTAACTGGACCATAAAATAGAATCGCCAAATAAAATGAACAAGCATGCGTGAACTATAGAACTATCTGAACGTATTTAAAATTAACACAGTGGACCCCACAGCACAGCTACTAGAGCTATTACAGAGTTCAAGTGACCTAATATACGCCGTCTTAGCTCACAAAATAACTCAGGTAAAGCACGGCTGTGGCAGAAACACTGAAATGACTCCAAAGGAGCCCGACTTTAGAACCATCGTGAAGGAGGAAGTGGGCCTTTCTCAGCACTCTGGGAACCGGAGCCACAAGTCAGCCCTCGCCCCAAATACTGCCTTTCCTACAGCTACTAAATTCTACAATCCTTGCCTCCAAATAATTCATTTCATAAGGGATACCACCTTCTCCACCAATTTCTAAGTGGAAAAATAAACACTGAGAACTCGACATGAAGTTAAAAATAAAAATGTCCTGTGTGCTTTCTGCTTTTAATGTTTGACCAAGAAGCAAGTAAATTAGGCACCTAGTATTTCACGTATCTTGTTGAACAAATGTTTTGCATGGCACATATAGGTATCAATCTTAACATATAACATCCACAAAGACCTGACTTAGTCTTAGTCTTAGTTACATAGCTGAAAATCTTGCACAGTGTGGAACTCACTATATGTCCCTCGAAGAGTAGATCTAGTTAATTACAATGTTTTGGGCTGATGGCCATTAATTTGGAAGTCTGCATGCCCATCCTTCATGGCTGATTGAAAACTGAAATTCGTCCTATTTGCCAATTACAAATCAAATCCGAGTAATGGTATTTGAGTCGGCGTAATCACACTATCAGCCCCGCTCTGCAGCTACGAACTGGCTCCTGTGAAAGAACAGTTGTCTCTTCCCCGGTGTGGCTCACTCTTGCGAGGGCAGATTTTAATCAGTCCATCCAAAGACAGCCTTCGAGCGAAAGAGCTGCAGAAAGTGATCCCAGGGTACAGTTCTTTGTTGCTTTCTCCAAAGTGTCTCTTACCCATGGCTCCTACCCATGCACATTTATCCAGTTCAAATAATTGGTCCCCAAACTAAAGTAAGCTAATAAACCAATAACTACATAAAGATAAAACCATGTGTTTGTAAAACTTATACTTTTCCAGGGAAAGAAACAGCACCTGAATAAAAGAAATTTAAACCAATGGTAAGTACACAATGAAGCCACCACCAGGAAAGCTGTGTACTTTACGACAACAGATCAGTCTAGACAGAGTTTGTCCTCCAGCTCTAAAATACAAAACAGAGAGTGCCAGGGGGGTTTACAGGATCATCTCCACCGAAAATATGTGACACAGTGCACAGAGGTTCCCTGAGCACTAAGCCAAAGAATCAAAACACCATACATCAGGTTGGACATAAAGTAAATACAAGGTTCCTCCCCTCCATTTCTTCAAAGGGCTTCTTTTGAGTAGCACGAAAGGAGTAAATTCACCTGAAATCTGAACCATCAATAAATAAGGCATGCTGAGATCACACACTTCTGCCCTAGAGTTACAGAAGTCTGCGGTATTTGAACAACCTGGCAGAGAATGGAGTTTAACTTGTGTTAATTATGCCGTTTCACACTCTAATCCTGCCACTCAAAAGGATGAACTGGTACATAAAATTCTCTCTCTCTCTCTCTCTCTCTCTCTTTCTCTCTCGCTCTCGCTCTCTCTCTCATACACACACACAATGGGGAGAAAAGAAACTACTTACTTTTCTTCTTAAAAAGTTTAATGAAAGACTTGAGCTTTGCATTAATGAAGACCACCATTTCCAGGATGCCTACACAGGGCTTAGAAATTTAAATCACATGCAAAGCTCAGTCCAGCGGGCAGGTGGCAAGCTGCATCCTTCTGCTCCAGATTCTGACTTCTCGCTCTCTTCTCAAATCCTTAGACATCTGCCCAGGCTGATGTAACTTGGAGGTTGAGCTTATTGTCAGGCAGTTACAAACCATTAACAGTCCTTGAACCTGAAAATCTCCCACTGAAACCTAATCTTTAAGGCTGAGAGTCTCCAGTGACAACGTGCGCAGAAAGGGAAAGCCAATCACTGTTCTTATTTGCATGATAGCCACCTCAGTCTTTCTGCCTCGGGGCTCATTTATTCAGCTTTCTCTCCAACAGGTCAGAAGTGTCTCCTCTCTGTAGTCCACAGACTAGTGCAGGTTTCCTCTACAGAAGCCGAGGCGAAGCAAATGTGCCCCCGCTTTCACCAGGTCACCATGAATGTCCAGATCTTTTTACTGGAGCCGACAAGTCTTAGAGCAAGTCTGTGTTGATTCTTTGACTCTCCAGTTAATTCAGGCATTGGAACTGATTTAAGGGGAAAAAAAGAGCCCAACTTTTGTTTCCCGACCACGCCCTTCGGCTCTGCCTCCCGCACCAAAGGAGCGTTTACAAGCAGTAAAACTTTATAATAGAATCTCCACGGAGCTGTAAGTGATGACTTGGTTGCATTTTTGTGCAAATTAGTATGCCCAGCCTTTTCACCCAGTGGCTTTTTTTTTAGCCAGTGATTGAGAATCAGCATTGTAGTTGTTCCAAAGTTTGATCTTATTTGCATCTAGCTCTCGCAACTCCCTCCCCCCACCAAAACCAACTTACCCACCCCAAAGGAGAAATTAGATAAAAGTATCCTAATCATTTAAATCAGTATTTTTAATTTGATTATCATCTAAGCACCTGGCTAAATAAATTACACACACACACACACACACACACCCCCTTCCCAATGAGGAAGAAGAGGAGTAATTTCAAATATTAATTGGGTTTCTCTTTGCTGTGAATGTAATACTGTACTGATTCTTTTGTCTATTCATAATTAACCCCAGAGAACTGGACAAACACAAACAGAGAGAGAAGAATCAGAAATGGGGTACACGCAGGCACTAGAAAAATACATTCTGGGGTAAAGGAACAGGAACAACAAGGAAAAGAATACAGATCAATAAATATTATAAAAACAAAGGAAAACAATGCTCCTCACTTCTTTCCCCAACTCCACTTTGTGGTAAAACAGTTTTTGAAACACGTTAGACAACCTCTTATTTCATTGCTTTGGGCCAGACTTACAACTGAATGGAAAAATGTAATAATCCACTAACTCAAAACATTTAGTTTATAACAAAAGCTCTTAGTCAAAGAATAAAATTTATATAAGGGGCTCCCTCTGGGGAAAGCTTTGGAATGATTCCTCCTCGAGTCTCCTCTCCCCTTAATCTTAAATTTTGAATAACAAAAGAAGAGAAAAAAATAAAACACATATTATCATATTACCATACATATTATTACAGGTTACCAATTTGTATTCTTTCATCCTATATATAGCATTACTTAAAAGTAATCAGACAGCCAGATGGCAAATAAGAAACAACTGAGACTGTAAGTTAAATTATATAGCTGCATTAAATTAGCCAGCAGAGTTCCCCTTAGGAAAACAAATGTATAAGCAACAGTGACCTCACTCTGCTTCAAGAGCTGCCTCCAACCCTCATCGCACTAGAGGCAGGTAGGCGCGTGATCTGGACGGAAGCACTCCTATTCACGTCGATAGGCTGCATGTCCCAGGAATACTTGCAACTGAAAACAGCATGTAGCGGTTTGTTTTTTTTTTAATTTTAACGTATTTTTTTCCATTATTATTTAGCCCCCTTATACCCACTTCCTTCCCCACAATCACCACACTGTTGTCACGTCCATGAGTCCCTTCTCCTTTGTGCTCAATCCCTCCACTCCTTAACCGCCCCCCCCCAGCAGTAGCTTTGCATGTATACAACAGTGGCATCTAAACACCGATTCAGTCATTAAAAAGGTAAATGTTGAGCATGTACTAAGTGCCACTCATTTGAGACACATCGGTGAGGTCCCTGCCCTCATGGGGCTTACATTATTTGACAATAAACTACAATTACATGGTACGTTAG